TGTTTCTTCTTGCCCTGTACATTGCATCTGCATTGTTTTCTATTAACAGAGAAACAGATTTTCAGATAACAGATTTTTAAAAAATACTTTTGGCTAAATTATTTTAAACCTTTGAGGTATTTTAAAAAAAAACAAAAGCTCATTACTGTATGAAGAAATGCTTATGTTGGTGAATGTAGCTTAGATGGGTTTCCCAAAGTAAAGTTCAGAGAGAGGAGTGAAGAATACTGTTGTGCTGGGTTTTCTGAATTTTTTTTTCTTCCTCCTGGAGCTCAGAAACGTTGACTTCCTTGTGTTACTGGAGCTTTCAAATGCAGGGGCATCTTGGCCTGGTGTGTTTTCTGCAGCAGCTATACCTACACCTCGAGAGTTTATTAGTTAAAACTTATTTTCAGGCTTTATTTTTAAATATAAAAATAAACTGTGAACTTATCTGTAAAATTAGGGAAGTGACAATTTAAGGAATGGCAGAACTATTGAAGATATGTTCAGGGGCTAAAAAAACAGCAGCCGACAGTTTGTTTCAGTAATTTTGGTGGTTATTTGGAGTAATATGTAGGATTCACTAGTATTTCAACATTTCTTTTCCAAGTTGATGATTAAAATAATTTTGGTCCATAACGTTAAGTTTAAATGTGATCTTTATGATGCATTATCAGATGATCTCTCATTCTGAATACCCTCACCTTCCATTGACTTTAAAGAAAATAATCCATCACCATACAGATTTTAGGAACCACTTTCCTCAAAGTGTGTAACATCTGCTGGAATAGTGATTGCCTGCTGTCTAGCAAGCATCACGATGTTATAGAAGTTCATAGTTGGTTCTGTCATGCACGTGTCAGGTATCAGTACAGTTCTATAGAGCTGTTGTGTGTTGCTGTCTTAAACTGCTAAGATCTGTCTTAAAATAATGGTTAGATAATTGAAATCAAACATCATACATGTTCCAAATTGGCTTTGTACATTTTTATTGTGGTTTCTTAATATTTTAAATATCCACTCTGGATTTGGCCCTGGCCAGGGGATTGAATAACAAAAAAATGTGTATAGCAATATCTAAACAAACTCCCTAACATATAGGTGCTTCCTTTAATTGGCTTAAGCACTTGACCAGAGATGCTGTATATATATGCTGTGCGTGTATATGTCTATATATAAAAGTATATATATAGCATTGTATATGTATGTATCATGGCAGTCAGTGTTTAAATACTGATTCATCAGATGGCTACAAGTAATTTAATCCTATCACCTTAGTCATCTGTTTGCCCATAAAAATATTATTCCTCAGGTTGGAACGAACTAGACTATAATGTAACTATAATGATACTGAGGATGGTGGGGTGATCTGTATTCCAGATTTAAACCTGATTTCTGTTACTTTGATTGTAAAGTGCCTTTCCTTTTCATGGAACCCTTTTATTCTTTTTGGCTAAAAAATCTTGCACATACACATACACAAAATT